GTACTGCATTTTGGGGCAGACCTCATGTGTTTCAGCTGTTTTTCGAAAAATATTCCGTGCAAAGCATAGCACCACTCTCAGAAAAAAGACAACTCATAATACCGGGAGTAGCCAAAATACCCTATCAATCTCTGTTTGGAGACGCGCCATGCACTCTACTTCCGTTGGCAATCGTAGTAGTTTTGAACGTGCATTTGGCTATAGGATGATTTGCCGGTCAGCTGATGTACAAGTATAGCGCCTCAAGCTTCTCAAGGTTCCGGCAGACACTGCTCTGGCAGTTATAGACCCGTAAAAAGTAGAGTGTTCGAAAGACTTGGGCACAATTTGATTCTGTAATTTGAACGCCCGACTGTGAGCACGACAGCGACACTCTTTTCTCTGCGCGAATTTCTCTGTTTGTCTGCGTCCTCTCAACGATATACTGACCCTTTCTCTCCACAAACACAGTCTTACCAGAGCGCAGGCGACCAAAGTGGGCTCATAATCTACCATAACTTCCTTAGATGCCAAGACAAGATTATTCCTCGATTAGGATCTACGAATTCTATTCAGAAGTTAGACGATTACTTCGTAACCACGAACTAGGGATTGATGGAGCAATTTGTAATATGTCAACTGTTGGTTTAAGAGTAAAACCCGTAATTACAGACGAGAACGATGGTCGAGAAGTTGTCAAAATGGGTTACAGGGTATCTATCAACCGGGTGCTCTCTCTCTCTCGCTGCGAGGGTCCAGGAGTACTTGCATCGCTTCTTCTGGTCCAGCATTTAGAGGAAGGGAAATAAGGAAAAGGGACAGAAGGAATGAAGAAAAAGAAGGAAGGAGGAAGGAAAGAAGAAGGGTAAGGAAGGCTTCGCGTTTAGTAAGAGGTTAACGATATTCTGAGACCGTCAAAATGTCATCCGCTGTTGAAACAAAGCACAACGAAAAGGGATCAATCAGAACTTAAAGGCACGTTTCGCGTTCATCTGGTGTGCAGACGCCGTCTCTGGACACTATAGCTGTGTTCGCAAGCACAGAGGATATGGCATTTTTGCGACTTAAAAAAACCTTAATAAGGACTCCACTTGCTTGCGAAAAGGGCGACGCCCCGCCCATTGCCCTATACCGCACCCAACGTTATTTTTATCAACGAATTGGTAGTGAGATTGTTCCGCTACTGGTTCCTTCCATAGCACAAGGTGAGAGTGAGGTGACAAGGGAAAAGACCTGATATCCTCGTGATCCCAACAAAAGAAAACTCGTCCAAGCACGCCCTCTCTTCTCGGTGTGGGGTCTTCTAAAGAGTATTAGGGAATTTTTCTTTTTCGTCCTTTTTTTCTGAACTGTTGACCGAAGTGCCCCTTTTTAATGGTATCCCCTAACCACCAACTTTGGTTGCGGGACGTGCCTTCAAAAGAACATGGCCTGGATGGCCCTTCTTCTGCAGTTAAGCCATTTTCCTCTTGAAACTCAGTACGAGGCGAGTGAAGGAAACTGGATGGCTACGAAACATTTATATCTGATTTAGATTTGTTACATTGAAAACATGAAATAATTGAGTAGTTTTGGGATTTGAGTAAGTAAACAAACAAATAAACAGATAAACAAGCCCCTGCAGTGGGAAACAAGCATTAAAACGAGAAGAAGTCGAGAGGAGACGCATTTAAAAACAATTTATGGCTATGTTAAGTCAGAGTTGAGAATGAACGAAGCCCTGCGACAAACAGATTTTGAATAAAAAGGCTGATTACTGTGAAACAGAAGACAAGTGATTTGAATGGGGAGTCACGCCCTATGATAGAACACCCGGGCGAAGGCGAATCGATCGGCGCCTTGTCCGCAACGACACACCCCTTTACAACACGCTAACAGTTTCAGGTAATTTTTTTCCTTATTCAGGGCTGATATCTCTCTTTATACAGCTTGTATTGGAAAAGAGCTGTTCGAAAATAATGGTGACATGGTAGAAACTAAAATAGTCTCAAGAATTTGCGAATTAGTAAGATTTGATTCGCCTATAATATGTAGAACTAAATTCGATTTTTTCATTGGTTGTTTACTTAACTGGGATGTATCGATGTGGGTTTATATTGTCTATCAAAATTACTGTTCATGAAAGAACTGCTGGAGAGCACTTTGATATCCCTGTGATCAAAAGTTATTAATCTCAATCGTATATGGAAATTTACCCCCCTAGATGGTAATGAATTAGACTTAGATAATCACATTTATAAAATAATAATAAGTTATCTCACTTTTTTGAATTTACCGATTAAAGGTGAGCGAGACTTGCGGCGATGCTGGTCCCGCTTTGCCCGTGGGGTTTTGGCGAATCGCCAGCAAACTATTGGCAATCAATAGTGCTGTCGGCTCAAAGTTTATTTCGTGGCCTTCTCAAGTTTCCTCCATTTCCAGTCCACTCCCAAAGCTTTAGAACTCCTCAGAACCAAATGAAATTCAGCATTCGTTCGTGGTTTCGTTACTCGTTGGGATTTTTCTCGCTTTGAGATCGCTGTTTAATCCAAACGAAGTAGTTATTTGCATTTTTTATCACTCTGATGTTTTACACTCTTCCTGGATGTTTAATGCTGTTAAACAGTGATACTGTTTCAGGTTTAGGATGATCCGATTTATTCTAATTCAAAACCGAGCGGGTAAAACGAGACTCGCCAAATGGTACATGCATTTTGATGATGACGAAAAACAGGTATGTTAAATAGTTGCTTTTGTTTTCATGGTCGAAACAAGGCACTCATACGCTGGGGACCTCCAGAGAGGTCTTATTTGGTCTGAGAATTTTTTTGATAGGTGGCTTTTCCTGTTTCACGCGCTAGGAAGAGGGGTTCACATGTGCTCGTCGTACAAAACTAGAATTAACCTCGCGCGTATGGGGACCTTAGCCTAAGCCTAAAGGGAGGAAGAAGCTGTGGGCTGGGCGAACCGATTTCAAGTACAGTAATTCTGGCGCATGGTGTTAATGGTTTGGTGTAAGTAGTCCTCTGAGGTAACAAGCGCTCCCACCATTGATCTCAGGGGGAGGGGGATGGGGAGGGAGGTAAGAGTTTTGGAGTATTGGACTTCTGTCTGTCTAAAGAAGTTACCTGCATAAAAATACAGCCGTGGAAACTCTCCACATAATATTTTCATTTTAAAGTACTAGCAAAGTTTCCAAGTTAGAACGCTACACTATATTTTTTTCGGAATTTTCAGAAGCTGATCGAAGAGGTGCACGCCTGTGTTACTGTAAGAGATGCGAAACACACTAATTTTGTAGAGGTATGTTTGTTTTACACGCCCAGTTCTTTTTTATTTCGGTGCTTCTTTACTTACTTCTCCAAAACTTGGGAAAGCGGTGAGGGAAATGGGGGACGGGCAAGAGAATCGTCATTTGCCGCTCCGCCGCGCGTGGCGTTGGTCGCGGCGTTTTTTTTAACTCGTGTTAACCTGTCGATTGGAGCACCGGACTTCATGTAGACCCCGTCATCGTAGACATTCATGACTATTTTCGGTTCTGAATTGCCTGTTGTCGCCATCTACTACCTGGAACCATCGTCATTTGCAGGCGCGACGTCGCACGCGACGCTCACCAGCGCGGAGAATTACGATTCTTTTGTCACATACCTGAGGGAAATATTTAGCGATCTCTTATGAATCTCCATGAAGAATTCAACAAGCTCTAAGGTAGTCTCCTGGGTCGCTCTTCGATTAGGATATTTCATGATCCAGTGCCATACATTTTCCCCAAGTAGCAGTTCCAAGTTTTTCTGAGAATTGCTCTGACAAACCTTTGAAAGAAAATTGTTTGAAAGTGGTTTTGAAGACAGCCCCTCGTGTAAAACTGCTATTTTCGCGGCCTCGCAATCAGTAACAAAGGCCTTGTGGTTCTTATAAGTGGAAATTCTAACGCCTTTCTAGTGGTCCTGCTCACCGGAGCTCAAAGGCTACTTCCTGTCACAAGTTCGGTTTCACACCATGTTTTTTTCTTTTTCAACTGATAGACGTATTGGCATTGGATGGCGCAAAGAAACGATCAGCGGGTCAGAGGCGGCAGGGTATCATTTTGCTGGCATGAAACGGGCAGGTCCGTAGTACTTGTACAGTGAGGCTAATAGGGGCTTTCACTCAAGGTGTTTTCGATTTTTTTTCTTCATTGTGGTGTCCATTAGTGATTATACGTTCGTAATTGAATGCCGCAACCCACAATATGCCAGCGCGGGGTTTGTCTTCGAGTAAGGATTGAAGTTCGGTTTTACGTATTTCATAAAACTCTATTTTCACCGCTTCTTTCTAAAGCATGAATATCTGAGCTGAGCTATTTTAGTTCCGAAACTTCAAAATCGTTTATCGACGATACGCAGGATTGTACTTCTGTATTTGTGTTGACATTATGGACAACAATTTGTATTACCTGGAAGCCATTCATAATTTCGTAGAGGTGCGTTTGATGACGCTCTTTCTAGCTCTTCACATTGCTTTTTTTTCTATATATAATGGTAACAGGCTACTGATTGTACTTCTCCCCTTTCTCAGTTCTTCGTCCCGCATACTTTTGCGTGTTTTAAATGCAGTTTATTGATCCTTTGCAGGTTTTAAATGAATACTTCCACAATGTCTGCGAACTGGATCTCGTTTTTAACTTTTATAAGGTCAGTTTTCTGTTATGGTTGCTTTCTTTCAGCATCTTCCGGTGCCATGACACTAATCCTCTTCGAAGTTCTTGTCCCTGGCGTGAGTAATAGTGCTCATGTGCCCGGAATCGCGACCGTTTATTAACCCCAGAAGTTCAGACTAGAATCTGTATTGTCAGTCTCCCTTCCATTATCGTTCTTAAAGTACCATGTGTGCTTTGATGTTTCCATGGGAGTAAGCAAAGCGCTGCCGGTGAACGTGGAACCTGATGGGAATAAGTTGCTCAGTTCTCATCAAACTTCGCTGATGCCTTCTATGAGACCTGATAATCTTGTGAAGCTATGTAATAGCAGGAGTTTCGTTTACACGTGATACCAGTCTACAAGTCTCAAGAAGTTCAGGCTTGCAAGTTGAACCTCTAATCCGAACAGCGCCATTTTTTCTCCTGTGCTCGCAACTCGAATCGATCCCTAAGAAATGGTAAAGTTTCGAAAGGCCATTAATGGACGCTAAGAATTTGCTTTTTCAAAGTATAACGTTTTTTGCGAGACCAGGGATGTCTAGTAAGTGGCGCTAGTTACCTCGTGATGGTTCGAGGAGAATAGCACCCAGTAGGCAGGCTAAGCTTTCAATTTCTCCGGGTTCGGTTAACTGGTATATGACTTATCTATGAAGAGTTGCAATCGTATTTGAATGTCACTACAATAAAAGTAGTATCCGTAGCGCATACTCAGAATGAGCTAAATTTCGTCCCCATATTTTCGTTTAGGATTTTCCTATTGCCAACAATTTCACCGTGTTCTTTTCTCTTATGCGGCTTTTAGGTGAATTTCATCTGGTGTTTTTCCGTTGTACAGCATCTATTCTGTTTCACGTTACTCCTCACTCAAACGAAACTACAGTAGTTTCGGCTTTATTTTTTTCATTCATTCTATGAGTTTCAGGTATATTCCGTCGTAGATGAGATGTTCTTAGCCGGTGAAATTCGAGAAACAAGTCAAACAAAGGTGCTTAAACAACTGCTGATGCTCACTTCATTGGAGTAATCCCAAAATGGGCAGTCTTGTTCGCTGCGGATGAAGGGGCATGTCAGTGAGGCAGGATTGGGCGCGCCATCTTGTTTTCCACTACTTGGTCAGGCGGGTAAGTGACAACAGTTGATGTAAAACGACTGATGAGAACAATATGAGAGAGTCTTCTCGCTTGCTAGCCTCATTAAGTGGTGCAAAACGAGTTTTGCGCTACGCCAAAGTCATCCCGCCTAGCTCGCTTTTTCATCCGTAGCGAACAAGACTGTAATGTTTTTCGAGCCGGTGAGCTGTCACTAGTTTTAGCGGCTTCAGTCCCCAGTGGAGACCTTCTCTTTGTTCGTTGTACAGGTCGAACTAGCGTAATATTTGATGATTTCCGAGATTACTGATTTTTTATTTTCGTTCGATTGTCTGCCCAAATACGTTCACTTTTATTCAATCAGATATTTTTATTATAATGCATATTGAGTGATTGCTAGCCTTCTGTTCGTCCTTGTGTTCTTTCTGAGGTGAGGCGGTCAAGACAATCGTAATTCGCTGCGCCGTCACGCGCGGGGTGTCGTGCGCGATACTCGTCAAAGTCTCGATGTGCATCAGAGGAGTTGATTGCAGCAGTAAAACTTATGTGAATTCAAGCGGAGGCAAGAATCCGTGCAGGGTGATATTGATGTTCCCCGCCCCTTGGACACACACTTGGAAGGAAATGACAACTCGTCCCTCGCGGGCGCGGCGGACGTCGCCAGCCAAGAATACCAGCGCGGCACATTTACGATTGTCTTGTCGCACACTCCTTTCCCGGAGCCAGTAATTTATTCGAATTTTA